GCATGGAAGCTGAAGTGCTGAGGCTGAACAGGGGGGTTCGTTGGTACGAAGTATAAGAGCTTCCTCTAGAGCCCCAGTTCCACGGCTATCGTGGGTTGCAGACCTGCAAGGTCTGTTCGACCTTTTTTCACATGCGAGATCTGAAATCGTCATTTGTCAACGTCGCCGTAGCGTGGTTTTGGATGCTGTTGTTATTGCTTGTTACCCTTACACAGACCGAAAGCCCAAACCTCTTGATATTGCTTCTTGAAGAGGAGTCCAAGTTCGTAAAACTATGTAGCCATAAAGACTAACTATCTCAAAAGCCAAGATTTGCACTTAGATGAATGAGAGAGAGACAGTGAGCGAAAGTGAGAGTGGAGTGAGAGAGGCAGAGAGAGAGAGAGAGAGAGAGAGAGACCCTAAAGCCTAATCCCACTACCTAAACGAGTGTTTCTGCATGTGTGCGATTATGGAAATGCAGGCCGTTCAAGACAGCTTTATCCGAGCTTTTAAAACAAACACACACGCGCACACACACACACACACACCTCTACCTACCTACCTACCTACCTACCTACCTACCCACCTACCTACCGACCTACCTACCTACCTACCTACCTACCGGACTCGCTTAGACTTCGGTAAGGTGATCTGAATCAGCTTCGACAGAGAGTCCGTACCGGCAAAATTTATTATTGCATCGCTTTTTTACACCCTTTTGATGTTCCAGGCTGCACTGCATACTCACCCAGAAGAAGACACTGATGAGGAGGCCTGGGGCTTCCGGCTAAGTGGTGTGTACCAGGGTTCAGCATTTTGGCCTGCCCTGCAGTGTGGCATTACTAGGTAGAACATGAGGAAATTGAAGGTGCGGTGCACGATGATGGACGAGATGGTGGCAGTGATGGTTTTGGTGTTGCAGTGCCCGTAGATATATCTTTGTGTGTATGTTGTCGTGAGGAGAGAGAATGGTGAGGAAGCTTTCCCGGAAAAATGGGTGATGTGACTTAGTTCTGCTGCGGTCATCATGTCTCCAACGACGAGGACGCTGCTGTTGCTTCTTCTCATCCCCTTCCGCCTCCTCCTCCTCTTCCTACCATCACCACTGCTCAACTCATACCACGTAATACTGCAACAAGTACTGTACATACGACACGACGACGAGGACGACAACACTGCTACTACTACTGCTGCTGCTACCACCACCACCACCACCACCACGACTACTACTACTACTACTACTATTGCCACTTCTACTACTGCTACTGCTGGTCCTGCTGCTAGATTCTGCTATTGCTACTGTAACTACCACTGCTGCTATTATTTCTACCACTATGTACTACTATGCTGCTAGCGCGCTGCGGCTGCGACTACTGCTGACCTGGTACTGCATTTTGCTGCTGAGGTTTGGGAAATTAGAGTCGTTTTATCATCACCACTCCTCTAAGTTTCGCCCCTGGTCGGTTTTGATTGCAAATTGCTTCTGGTGCCGCTCCACGCCCGTTTGGAGTGCAGTCAACCCTACCCCAAACGCCACATTGGCCTGAACCCCTACACTCTGCGAGCCTCCGTTGATATCGCCAGGACGGCGTGCCCTCCCCCGGTGCACTCGAACGTGCTGATAGAGGCAGGATGTGCCCAGGGCTCCCTATCCATAGCCTTCGAGCAGGGATTAGCCTTGTGCTGTCGACTGTGATGCACTGGCGCATCGGGTCCCACCAGCAGGGCGCTTCATGCATCGACTTTAGTTAGGACACGTGCACAACAAGACAAGCTGAGCCCGGAGAGTAAAGGCTTGTTTTGCAGATGCTGCGTAACGATCAAGCATGAAACTACCCGTTCCACATTCACCACTTGTGCTTACCGCATCATCTATCAAAATACGCTATGCTGTACGTCATGCAGCGTAGTTGACATGCAGCCCAGCATCTTGCTTCAGGGATCGATGCTTTTCTGGGCCCTCTTCCAGACGAAGGGGCTATGGAACGGCTGGACCGAGGCCCCACTTGCTGTTGAGCTTCCTGGGTTCCTTACCTTGCAGTGTGCGGTCATGACCGGGACCCATCCTTGTACCTTGAACTGCTGGGATTGTCCGGATCGTGAAATATTGATCCCTGAAGCCTTGTGCCTTCTGTGAAAAAGACATGTCATGCACTGCAACTTGCTGCAGATTTGTCCAACTGCTGGCAGCCACAGGCTGCTGCAGGGACCTGCGAGAAAGTAGTGGACCGCTGCCGCATGCCTGCCGAGTATCACCCAAAGCATTGTCCGAACCTACGGGAAGTTGCAACGGCAATTCGCAAACACAAGCACGACAAGAGTGACAAGGGCAGTGCACTCTGGCCGAGCGAACCATATGCACGGTAGCTTTGGTACGGCTCAGGCACCAGATGCTGGAGTCTTGGGGTTAGGACCAATGCTTCGGAAGAGCTGACGGGATTTGTCTCGGGCTCTCGACGACTCAGATCCTATAGTGTTCTGCAGAACCTACAGAGTCTGCATTGTTTTTTTGGTTTGCTTGAGAGTTGCAAAAAGGTCTGATATAGAAGACGAAATATAGCCATTTCAAGCAGGCTGTAGGCTCTCGTTGCGAAGGAGTAGGCGCAGCGCCGAACCTGATGCCTCAAGCCACTGCCTCGTGCCTATGCATTTCTTGCATCCCAGGCAACCAAAGGTAGCTAGTTCCATTGCTAGACTTACAGCCCTGCGACTCAACAACATATTCTTTTGCTTTGAGATGACCCAACAAAGTATACAAAGTACACCCCACCGTGATGGCCGCGACCTCCACAGCAGCAGTAGCAGCACCACCACTACCAACAACAACGGCAACAGTAACAGCCTAGCAGCAGCTACGACGAGTGCTGCTGCTGTACCACCACCACCATGACTACTCCCACTACTACTACTACTACTACTACTACTACTACTACCACCACCACCACCACCACCACCACCACGACTACTACTATCAGTTTTACCCTTGAACCTATTATTATTGTTACTATTAATGCTGCTACCAACTACTACTACTACTACTACTACTACTACTACTGCTACTGCTACTGCTACTGCTACTGCTACTGCTACTGGTAGTACCACTACTGCTACTGCTACCACTGCTACTACTACCACAACTAACTACTACTCTACTGCCGCCGCTACTATTGCTGCTCAAGAAGTCTGTGTGTTCGTGTCCCTCTGAGATATCCAACTCCAATTGTGAAAGATGTCGGACAAGAAGTCACGCGTCGAGAAGGAGGAGAAGAAGAAAGCACGCGCCGAGCATGAGGAGGGGAAGAAAGACAAGCGTCCGAAGGAACACAAGAGAGAGGCCGAAGATGCCCCGCCCAAGAGAAGGAGGGAGTTCAATGAGATGCCCAAGCCTGACGCCTCTGTTCCCAAGTCGAAGAGAGAGGATCCGAGAGACCCTGGTCGGGGGGAGTTCGCAGGTTCACAGGAAACTACGAGACTCCTCGCCGAGACTGGAGGGAGAAACACTTACCTCATGGTCAGTGATACGGCCGAGTTCAACAGGATCATCAATAACAAGGACATGCCGACGGCCAGGAAGTTCGACAAGCTCTTCGAACTCATGCCCCATCTCAGGAAGCTCGGCTGCTCCCACACCTACAAGCCACTCAGCGGCGACAGTGCTGCCCGGGAAGCAAAGACGCAGGCAGGCATGGGAGGCCGGATGTTCAACGTGTCTTTCCAGAGGCCGAAGGCGGGGCCCTCCTTCTGGCAGAGCTTCGTGATTTCCTCAGAGCCTAGCAAGAAGGACGAGGTTTTGTTCACTGCCGCGGTCATAACGGACAAGTCGGGCTATTTGAATCCCAGGGAGGCAAAGAAAGGCCCAACTCCGGATGGGAGGTGGGCCGGGCCAGATGCATGGAGGAACAACAAGGACTACACTGCTGGCCTCAAGGTTTACATGGAGGCGCACTACATGGACGTCCCCTTCAGGCACTTCGCCAAGGCTACTCACCCGACCGGTGTGAACTTTCAGGAGTTCAAGTACCACCAGGGCTTCGGGAGGGTAGTACAGGTCTGGACTACCACTCCGTCCCTCGACCCCTATGCAATGGTCAAGCCGACGTATTCAAGCGGCCCTTGCAGTGTTCTGCCCAGTCCCTACTGTCTCTCGATCATCAAGTACACGATAACCTGTACAGAGAGCCTGGGCAATACAGACAAGAAGAACCGGGAGAACAACGTTGTCAACAGCACGACGAATCTCCCTATCAGGGACGGGGCCTCGGTCGAGTATGTCACGAACCCTCCCTCGGGGGAGAAGCCGACTACTATCGCGCCAAAGATCAATTTGAAGGGATATCATGATATTATCCCGCTCACAGGCTTCCCACAATCCCTCGGAAATCTCTCTGACAAGCCAGACAGCAAGGAGACAACCCAGGTTGGCATGTCAGAATCCTTCATCAACCTGCTGTCGCCTAGAAGGACCTTCCGCTTCGGTGACAGCAACGAGATGAGGAGATCCGTCGCCGATGCTGATTCCATCGGCCCAATCCCGAGCGGATCGAACGTGGCAGAGAGGGCGAAGATGTTCAAGAGGCATCTCTCGATCTATTCGACCGACGACGGTGAACACTACATATAAGGGTGACTCTGTCTGAGTATCTCGGGGTCATGTTTCCCTTCTAGAGGTACCGCGTCTTGCCCCTCGAGGACGGAGTGTGCGAGAGAGTGAGGACGTTTACAGTTCCCTCCCCTATCGATCATTTGAAAGCGCCCTTAAACGCAACGGAGTCGAAAAAGAAAGGACGGCGGGTATCAAACACTTCCAGTGTCTACTGTAGCCATTTTTGGCTCAAGGGTGACCCAAGCTTCACCGAGCGTCACAGTCACGCTGGGAGGCGCATGATTTTTCCAGTGACATGGACTCCAGTCATTACAATGGTGGATATCTCCTTCCCTCGGGGACAGATCGGTATGCAGATCAGTCATATGACTTGATGCTGAAGATTTGACGCTTCAGGGTAGCGAGTTCCTGGCTCATGGTGCAAGATGGCGAGGGATGCGCCCTCGCCGGCGTGGAAGCGGCTCGAAAAGATCCTTCGATGTGGATGCGCCACTCGACTTTTCTCATTTGGTGAGTCAGTTTGAGAGCGCAAACCCTTCGACTGGACAGGTTTTCTGGCAAGTGCTCACGCGTTTTGCTCTGCGGCCTCTGAAATATGTTGAATGCGAGGGCGACGTTTCCAACTTCCGAGGTGCATTGAGCGACCTGCCTTGCACAAGCTTTGGCGAAGGCGCGCATGTTGCACGTCGCACTGCTGTGTGTGGCAGCTGTCGGTGCGGCGTAGTTCCTGCCACGTAGAGATGGCTGCCCTCCCTCAACACGAAGCAATCCTTCGGCATCCTTGACGTCGATAGCTTCATGCCTGCTTCTGTTGAAAATTAGCGAGCAGTCCCAAGCAACTGCCGTTGCTGTGAAGCATGTCGTGAGCAGAAGAGAAAGCTTTCGCATGTCTGACTAACTTGAATGCAAACAAGCCTGATCATTGAAGGAGGCTGAGATTAGCAATCCCGTCAAAGTTGCAGCCTTGCCTCGTGGACACAGGCACACGACGCCGGAGTCAATAAGAGAACCGTCCTCGCAAGGCGTCTCGTGGACGTGAGTCTTCCCGGCTCACATGATGCAGGGGCCTTCTGGCGTCTCAACATATTTCAGAAATCGTGGGGTTGTCTTTTGGCTTGGGGAAAGTTCTCGCATTCAACACATCAGGGCTCTGAGCTTTCTATCCTCAAGGGTGCATGACAAGTTTCCATATACTGCTTGTGTTGAACATGTCCTGTGTCTCCGACAGTTCAGGCTGGAAGATCGTGCTGCAAGCTGCGGTGCTCGATGCCATGCTTGCGCGTGCTTGGTGGCATTGTGACGGTGATTCTAGGGGGATGTATGGGCTTAGATTCGGCTGGCTTGGGAAGTCGACCATTCGAGTTCAGGCCGTTAAGCTTAAGCCCGGTCGTCTTAAGGGGGTCCTCGAATCTTGATTGATTTCGATTGCCTCCCAGAACGGATGGCAGGCTGCCATACTGTGTGAAGTCTGAACATCGATGCGGGGACATGAATCCCGGATTCCTGAAGACCTGTAAACTTCCAACTGCCAATCCTGCGGCGTGCATCTTTGCTGATTAGTCTCGTTATGCATACTGAACGCGTAAGTGTGTACTGGTAGGGGATACGTAGCCTTGCCGAGCTACGGTCATACGCTGCAGGCTTGCCCCAAGCTACGCACGACGATGGGGCCTGGCGCAAGGAGGCACGCGGCCTAGGTCTCCAGGCAAAGGTTTCGGACCTTACAGGTGGATTGTTGAGGAACTTAGAAGTCTTCGTAAAGCAGATCACCAGAGCTCATTCTTGCGGAGACACAGTGTGGGCTTGCCGCGTCTCTGTCTTCCCCGGGCTGATGTGGGTTCTGATCTTTGATGGTTCGTCATGAGCTGATAGGGGGTTCGGACGGTCTGCAAATCATGATTCTGTTTGTGCCGCCGTTATTCAGCTGATGCAAACAAAGCCGACTGTTTCGAGGCTGCAGATTGATAAACCGTAAACCAGTGCCCGATGGATAGCGATTCGTGGGAACTCGAACAGGTGTTCCTCTAGGTTCAGGTCAAGTCGCTCCCCAAAGTCAGGAGATATTCTCAGCCAGCTTCGCAATGGTGTGCGCCTTTTGGCTTACTACTGTAATGCTTATTTGCATGAGGCTGGGGCGACGCTGCTTCTTTGAACGAAGCAGCCACATCCTTTCCCGGTGACCCCCCCGCCCCGTCCGTGTGGTCTGGGGATTGGGTCTGCTTAGGGTGCCTCCACCTGTGGTATGGTGTGGTTCGGGATTTGGCCTTTTTGGTTCGGGGTTAGGTGCTGAGGTTAAATTTGTAAGCCTCAGTCCCACTAATATTGTCACTAGCTCTTGCTTGTTGTCATCATGGTCATCATTTTATTGCTCCTTTCTTTGATCGTCCGGTGTGATCTGCCCGCGATCCTGGTGACAATGTTCGATTCATTGACGTCGTGGAAGGGCCACGATTTTCGTGACAGATGTGGCATGTCCGGAAGAAGATCCGCAATTGCCCAACCATGCAATGGGTTATAATAGCAAGTAAGCTGTCATGGGGATAGGGGCTGCCACGGACGCGATCCTCTTGACAGTTGGCTTGTCTTCGGACTCTCATATCGGAGTCGTGCTTGGAAAGTGTCCAATGTTACGGGGACCGTTGGCGGAGTACCGGGAAAGGACGACGGTGGGAGGGATATGTATACATACAGTTACATAAAATTACATACATACACGATGTCGCGATAACTAGACACGAGGTCGAAGGCGGGCCTGTGAGGAAGAAACTTTCAAGAAAAGCTTTAGGAAAGGGTTGGGCTTTGGATGTGGAGGGTTGCGGGTCGCAGCATCACCGGCGCATGTTGGAAGGCCGCAGCAGCCTAGTGATACCACGCCTGCTAGCTGCGCCAACAAGCTAAACATGAACACGAGCGAAATGCTTCATGCTTGTTCCACCTAACAACAAATAGCGAAGTTGAAGCCAAGCTTCGGAATTGAAGCTGTCAGTTGCAAGCACAGCCGATGAAAACACATGATAACATTAAAAACATTAAATATTGCAATGGCATATTCAGTGTCCAGACTTCTCAAAGCATTCGATCTAAGGCTTTCTGGATTTGCGGCTCACTGTGGACGATGCTGTGGCTGGTTGTGGCGAGGTCAGCAACGTCACCGGAGCATGCTGGAAGGCCGCCGCAACCGGTGATGCGAAAAACTCACACAATGCAGTGTCGCTGCAACGTTTGGGACTTGCAGCTTCCTGTTCCGATCATGTACACGCACAGCGATTGTCACAAAGGCGATGCAGATCTGACTTAAGCACCCACGAGAGTAAAGCCTTTATTGATAGCAAAGAATTCCAGCAAAAGTTTGGGGGGATTGGAGCGGCCTACCCTTCTCGGAACTTGAGCAAGAAGAAGGAGACAGACAAAGTTCGATATGATACCGGTATACCGTAACCTTTAGGGCAACCAGGGTGTTTGGAGGTTCTGGCGAAGGGCATGGCACTTTTCGAGCTTTCCGCCAGGCTCCGAGAAGCTCTAGGGACTGTAGGGATTTAGGGTGCGCTTGTTGGTAGGGCTTGGTTAAAGATGGTGACCAAACTGGTTGCAGATTAGGACAATCCTTAGCCAGAATGTGTTTCGGTTCCTTTGGTCCGGGCCGTTTGCAGCGCGGACAGCTGAGAGATGGGTGAGGGAGACGGGCACTCACGTTCAGCCTTACTGCTCTCGCCAATGGGCCATTCAGAGAGCAGGTTGAGGTCCCACAGCAAGATAATGGCTGTGCGATGCTGAGTGCATGATTTCGATCGTGACCGTGGGAGTTTGCTTCTGCAGCCTTCCGGCCTTCTTTCCGGGGGGTGCTCGCCCAGCTCGCAGTATGGTGCCCCAGGTGCACGGGCACTAAGCAGGGCGCAGTGCCTGCTTTCGTCAACAAGTTCGACGAAGTACTTTCCCCTCGTCGTGGCGAGAGGCTCGCATGATCGTCCTCTCGAAGGATGAGTTGACGGGGGTTGCGGTGGAGGTCGCACGCCTGCGGCCGAACACAGTGTTTTACACAGCCGTTGTCGCTGCTCTTTGGACCGCCCGTGCATGTGGGAGAGAATGGCTCCCGCAAGTGTGCCCTGAATATTTCCGTGGCAGCATCGCTATGCATCGCTGGCCGCAATGCATGGCAAACCCTTCGACACATTCAAGCTTCTTGGGGCCAGGAGGCCATCCTCATATCGTTCGACGTTTGTTTTGACAAGCCGGCTGTCAGCTGGCCATTCGATGGTCGTGGGCTTTGCATTACGGGTGTCGTCGACATTTTTGGTGTGGACACGGACGTCGACTCCTGAGTGGACGTGGAGGCAGGCGGTGGACTTTTTCCTTCAGGACCTGGGTTTCGTCAAGGCAAATGCTCTGGCTCAGTTGACTTATCGGGAAGCTCGCGACGCTCGCGACGCTCGCGACGCAGCGGACGTAGCGTACAGCACATGATGCGACAGGCATGGCGAAAGCAGCGACCTGCGGCTTTCTTACAAGGGCATCGGCACGAGTTCGTCGACCTTATCAATGACGATGCTGGCTGCAACGAAACCGTGCTCGGTGGCCATCAAGCTCGGCTGTGTCTGTGAGGAGCAATATGTCAGGATGCATAAGTTAAGCCGGTTCTCAGGGAGCTGGGAAGTTTCTTGACACGGCGTACACTTTGCGACCATGAAGAGGCCCCCAATGGGCGGCATGCGTCGCAGCGCTTTTTGAACATATATGTGTCGCATGATCTCATGCACGCTCTAAGCATATGTTGGCAAGTAACTTGTAAACAGTTTTAAGGCCTGCCGCTGCGATTTCGTCTGTGAATTTCATCTTCGCTACTGGACATGGACAGCTGTTCGGGAAACGTGTGGCGACAATGGGAAATTCTCACATGTACTCCCTAGTAGTAGTCCCATCACGGGATATTAGAGGGTATGAGAAAACTTGCACCCTTTCGCACACTGTGCGCCATCCTGTAGGCAAACATGTGCACGCGCGGGAGACAGAGTGCCCAAGGAGCTGGAGCATGCAGCGTCTAGAGTTGTGGCAATCTTCAACAGAGGGCTGGACGACCCTCGTAAAGTGCGCTGAATTCCCTGTATCCCGAAGGTCCACCATTGTCTTCTGGGAGTTCCAGTTGCTAATGTTACTGCAGACCTGCGCCGATTCCTGGAGGCCCGCTTCCACGTCAAGTTCACGAATACGACTCCTGAAATTTTCCTCTTTGCATGCGAGAGCATGCATAAACACAACTCTATAATATGCCGATATGCCTTGATTTGTAGGACAAACTACATATTGATATCTGTGTAGTGATCGACCTACCTACCTGCCTACCTACCTACCTACCTACCTGGCTACCTACCTACCTACCTACCTACCTAGCTACCTACCTACCTACCTACCTACCTAACCTACCTACCTACCTACCTACCTACCTTCCTTCCTGCCTGCCTGCCTGCCTGCCTGCCTGCCTGCCCGCGAGCGAGCTAGCTAGCTAGCTATTTGTCTATATCTATCTATCTATCTATCTATGTATCTATCCGTCTAGCTGTATGTCCATTTGTCTACCTGTTTATCTGCCAGTTTGCCTATCAACTTATCGAACGATGACTCTATCTATCTTTCTTTCTACTTGTCTTACTCTGTACATTTATGTATACATATACATATATAGCTTTGTTTAGCTGTACTTGTATTCATGAACCTGGTGTGCCCGCCTGCCCCACCCCCCTCATGTTTGGGGCTTATCATCATGGTTGGTTTGAGCTAGCGTCACACTCAGTGATCCAATGTTGTTTCGCACATGTCTGGGCTGCGCGGGGTTGGGTGGGGGGGCGGGGGCGCGGGGGCGCCGGGGGTAGTGCTGACGTGTTCGACCTTTTCATGTAATTTGCCTTTGTTGGACCTGCGGCTCTGCCCCTTGTCCGTTCCCGTTCCCCGCCCCGACGCTCTGGCTGCAACTCTTCTCGCGTGCATGTGACAGTCCGCAGATTCGTGTTGTGGATGGCACGCTCTGCGCCAGCGAAGCAGAGCCACCGCAAGACTTTCGCTGCTGTCCGTGCTTCGATTATGCTGGGCCTGCCAATATATCCTGCACCCGAACCCCCGCTCAGTGTACATACCAAGTGATTTGCTTTTGCTGCCTTTGACCTTCCAAAACCCCAAAATCCTCCACCGCCCAAGGAATCGTTCATGTCCTCTTAAACCCGCAAAATCTTGAAGTGTTGAACTGTTAAACCCTCCGATTTGTTAACCGCGACACTGCATGGTTTAATCTCCTCCCCCGGTGTGGTGAGGTGTTTGTAGGGATGGGGCGGAAACAGCGAGGTGGGGCCTGTGCTGGTGCCCTTCTCCCCTCACCCCGACCCTGTGGTTGTAGTGGGCTCTGCACCCGCCTTAGCCATAGCCCTTAGCTGAGGCTTTGGTTGGACTGAATTGGAATACGCAACACGTGTAGGACAATGACCTGTTGTCACGATTAGTGACTTAACCACTGTTACGTGAAACTATAAGAGCACTTTTTCTGATCTTCTCCACCACCACCCATGTCTACAATTGCATCTACTGTGGTCGTGCGGCCCGCATCCACCGTTAGTGAAGTTCTTATGTGTTACTTACTCTTAATCTTACTTCTTGCTGTGGGTTGTGCTGCTCTAGACGGCGACGCGAGTCGACATTCAGGTCATCTTTGACATCATGCTCAACGTCATCATTGTCGTCGTCATCTTCATCATCAGTACCATCAAAAGAATAGCTGCCACCATCACCATCGCCATGCAAC